CATAATAATGAAGATTGTCAGCAACCTCACTAGACTTGTGTATAACTCCTTGCCAAAACTAACGTGACATTGAAGCAGATCCCTTCATCCCACATCCGACTTTAAGCCACTTAAAACCTGATCTTTCAGGCATCAGGTAATACAAGTCACAAGTGCAGAGACAGAAAACCATTTTCTCCCAGTAACACACAGTAACTGCTGCATACATAGATATTGTTAATTGTGACAAACAATTTTAGCCTATCGAACTGGAAGCATTTTTAAACAGCAGTAGCTTTGGGATGTGATCAATTAAATCTATTCACCATTGTAATTTATGCTATTATACATACATATTTAAAAAATGAAAACCAAAGCTAGCAAATGGAAACAATCTCACACTAAAGCAGTATTACATAAAATATATTTTTATGAAAATTCAGATATGGAAATGAACAAGAGATATGCAGGTTATCAAAGGTTATGGACCCGCAAACAAGTCATTGGGGCTAAGCTAGCGTGTGAACTTGAAGTGTCTTGGCCACTATGCCGTAACTACCCATCTGCATGCTCTTATCACAGCATAAATAAAGGTAATATGCCCCTGAGATGTTTTAGGGCAAGCTACCTCATATTTATTGGAGCAGAAACATGGGAGACCCTTTCCAAGCCTATATTCCCAGGCCCAGGTATCTTACAAAAGTATTGAAACCCATAATATCTAAGAGGCTAGCTAGCATCTTACAATTGTTGTAAAGGACTGTTATCAGTGTACTGTTTCATACACACTAAAACATTTCTAAAAGCATTTAGTAAGTTTCATACTGAAGAAAATGAAAGTAGAAAGGGAGAAGAGGGGGAGGGAGGGTAAAAAAAAAAGAAAATCCCCACAACAACATGTATGAAGAATTAACAGAAATACTAATTCTTCATAGAAAATGTATTTATGACACACTTGCTGGATTGGGTTTGGAGAATCTTCTACTGCATATTTAAAATATTTGGAAAAGAACATCAGTTGTTAGAGCATGCAAGGAATGAGTATATAACAATTGATTGAGAAAATTGCATTATAAGGGAATTTAAAAAAAAAATAAAGTCAGTTTTGTAAGCACACTACTAGATCAGGAGATAAAGTGAAATACTGTTACTTAAGAAATGCAAGTCAAACAGAATTCCTACCAAAAAGGCGCACAGGTTTAGACACAAATCCTCAACAACAAAAAATGCATTCAGTTATAAACCAGAAATAAAAAAGGCAAAAAGGATACTGTGGCACATTTATTTATGAACAGAGAAAACAGAAATGACAAATACCTATTAAATCTCTGCTCCAAATTGTTTACTGATTTAAGCTCCATGAAGTGGTAAGAGATAAAAACAAATAAAAAAACCAAACATGCCCTACTAGATGCTACTAGTAGGGCATGTCTCAATCAGATATTGAAATTTTCCCATGCAAATTATACCATTACACTTGGAGGCTGATGGAAGAAACTAGAATGGTTTCAAATATTAAAGTGAACATTAAACCTGACTTTAAGGGGACGCTGAGAAAAATGATCTTCTGATTTAAGATACTGAACTGGAATTTAGTAGGTCTAAGATCAGTTCCTAGAACCATCATAGGCTTCCACTGTGATCTTAGGAAAGCTACTCAAACTCTCTCACTTTTCTGCTTTTATGTACTATGCACAAAGCTACAATATGCAGGTTTTCATTTTTTTGGTTTTCATTTCAATATGCAGGTTTTAATTTTTTTTTTTTTTTTTTCCAAGGAAGCCTGTTTAGTGAGCTTAGGTTTGCAAAATTAGTATTTACATAACCTGTGTTTTGTTACTATGGTAGACTTTCCCATTACATGCAGAGATGAAATTAGGGGGGTGGGAGAGAAGCCTCCTCATTATGCGCTAGAAATGAAGGGAAAACCCCCACACCTGCCCCTATCTTTAGAAATGGTGCTCCCTACTACCTAACTTCACCCGCAACTTCAGCTGATGGGCTGAGATTTCCCACCTGCCCTTTTGGCTGTTGTAGCAAGAAATTCCTCCCTTCCTGTTCAATGTACTTTAAGCTATACCATGACAATCTGCTTCACTAGAAGAAACGCTGATCGCCCCTTGTCCTGCCCTTGATGGCGTGAGACAATGGGAGATGCGAACTCTGCAGATGGTTTCCAGTATGCAGGGAAAGCCCTGTTTTCACCACTCAGCCAGACCATCCTCTGTGATCAGCTTTCCGTACTCAGCCAGACTTGCTTCCGTGATCACAGGCAACAGGGTCTGCCTGAGCTGGGAACCCCAACTTTCCTGCTTATAAGGAGGCACTCCAAGATTCCCTGGGGTACCTCTCTAAGTGGGGAAAGCTGGGAAGGTACCCTGGGGGCTTGAAGGATGTACAGCTTGTTTCCCATTTTGTTGCACCATTGTGTGGTCTGAATGTGTGGCCAGGTTATAACTTAAGACATGAGTAACATGTTAATCGCATCTTGCTTGTAATGTTTGCCAGGGGCTTTAGCTAGGCAACTGAATGTCAGACATGCAGACTAAACAAGCGTAAACGCCTCTGTCTGGAATGTGGAATAAAATTCACATATATAGGTAACAGTGCACATACACATTGGGCTGTACCCATAGGAAATGCTTGCAGGTTTTTTGTGTTTTGCTGGCAAATATCTGTTGTTCTTTGAACACCAGTCACTCCTTTTCATGGAAGCCCCCCTCACCCATTGCCTGATGGTGTAACTGTTCTTCTGTGTATTTAATCGTTTACAGACAGGCAGATATGCTGGGCTGTGTACATATCCATTTTATTACGTACTTCTGTTAAAGTGCATCATTAGGCATTAGGGCCCTTCCAGTTACTGTCTCGAGAAATTCACAAGTCTCTAAGGTATCTAGAAAGTGACAGCCTAAATGTGTACTTTTCTTCAACATGAAGGACCTGCCTGGAACAGCACTTACAGCAAGGAGTTTTTGATAAGCTTCAACAATGCTATTTTTCTGGGCAATGAGATGCTTAACACCGAGACATTCTTTCTGTCCGACCCACACCTCATCTTATTTAAAGAGAGGAGTGCTGCCAAGGTTTTAGAGGACAAAATGGAGTTCTTCTGTTTGCTTGTTTTGTCTTTTCTATTGACTAGGAAGGGAAAAAAAGGCAATCCTAGCATCACAAGAGGAAAAACAATTAATTCCCCAGTCTCAGTTGTATTAAATGAGAAAGCCCCAAGAACACATGCACATACCTCACGGTCTATAAGCAATTAGATACACAGAAGAAGTTACACCATCAGGCAATGGGCGAGTGGGACTTCCATGAAAAGGAATGACTGGTGTTTAAAGAACAACAGGTATTTGCCAGGAAAACACACACAAAAAAAAAACAACTCACAAGTATTTCCCATGGGTACGAATCACTGAGATGTGGCCATTTTTCTGCTGTGAATCCCCAAATCCCCCTGTGTCCCTAAACAAGCTGCCCACTGTAAAGGTTAAGCTGCCCCAGACTGAAGAGAGCACAGGCAGCACCAAAGGACCTACCTGTGCGGTTGAGCAGTGCTGGGTTGGGCCCATGAAGAAAACAGCAAGCCTGCCTGAGTCAGGGTGGCTACTGGAAACACAACAGTAGAGGCCAGGGGGACAACAGAAGTGACAACAGGGATGGTAGCAGAGGTCAAGTGCTCCAAAGAATGGCATGCACCCCCCCAGACATCTTCCCCGCCCCCTTCCCAGCAGAGCCCACTGGCTGGCTACCACTGCCCCTCAAACAGCTCCAGGAAAACTGTGAAACTGTGCCTGAAGACGTGAATGGATGAAAGACTGGAAGACACCTCGCATCACAAAATGGGAAGTCAGCCACAAAAACATTACACAAAATGCATATTATTTTGCTACTGGTTTCCATCACATCTTGAATTGAATGTGTGGCACCTCCACCATACAACAGGATGAAGACTGGAAGACGCCTCACAGTCCCGGGAGCACCCCAGCCAGTTGCAGCCAGGTAGACAACCAGCTTAGCTAGGGCCAGGAGGAGGTTGACCAGGACTGTTTGCCAGCTTCAGGGACATGGACTTAAGCCTTATAAGTAGCCTATCGGCTTCCCTCAGATGGGGAGGCTACAGAAGAGGAGACAACTGATCACTGGGGCCAAATAATAAAAAAAAACCAAGGACGGGGGTGCTGGTCAAAGGTTATGAACAAGGAGAGACACTGAGCAGAGCACATCAGACAGTGCCCACTGGCCCTCAAACGAGTCTGAGGAGCCAGCAGACACTGTCCAGTGATACTCTGCCCAGAGACGGGAACGAACAAGGGTAAGGAAAGCAGCTCTGGCCAGAGTCTCTTTCCTGGTCAGAGACATGGCCAGTACAGCCAGGGCCAGGAGAACACGACCAGGAGGTCCCATGACTGGGAGCACCTAGAAGAAGAGGTGCGAGGGCAAGGGTCCGCACAGCCAGGACCTCTGTGGCAGGGATAAGGCTGAAATAAGTCCCTTATTCCCAGTTCTTTAAATCTGGTTTCCAAGTCCTTTCTCAGTGCCAACCCTCACACAGCTAATAGGGATGAACTGGACAGACTGAAAAGTAAGACTCCCCCTTATGAGTGGTGGAAACATGTGGCTGGGGGCAACCCACACTAGCGCTGCTGGGCATACAATAATTATCATATCTGTCACATCATTTCAAGCCTTGTATGAGGTACGATCAAAAGCTGTAAAAGCATTCAAAATACAGGATCATTTTTGCGGCAGCTCATTGATGCAGCCTATGCAAAACCCAAGACACTCTCAGGGAGCCTTAACTGACTTTGGGGCTTGCTGGCGACACTTCCTTAACTGTTCGCCTCAAAATAAAAATATGCTTCCACTTCCATGGCCCAGGTCATGAGTGATAGAAAGTAAATAAGAAGATGTATTTACATGCGTATTTGCATACTTTTCAGTACATGATAGTTTTTCAGCAAATACCATAATTTTGAACTCCCAGTACAATACCCCCGCTCCCCACCGTGCCTCACCAGAAGAGCAGATTGGCGCAGACGAAGCCGCCCAGGCTGCGCAGAGGCCGCTCCCAGCTCAGAGCCGCC